GGTTTAGACTGGTGAGCTCTGCTGTCTTTGTCCATCAGTCCGTGCCCATGGGTGCCAGTCCCGTCTGCAAGGCTCTTTGGCCTGTTCTAAGTGTTCAGATCACCTTTGTGGAGAGAAACTGAACTAATTACACACGTCTTTGCTGCTTAGTATATAGGCTTGTACAAAGAAAGCTACCCAGTTCAATAGGGGCTAAGGGCCCAGGAAAATTGCTGCTGCTTCTTGAAGACAATTATTTAAATGTCTAATACAGGGGCGCCTGAGTGGCTCAGATGGTTAGGCATCTGCCTTCAGCTCAGGGCCTGATCTCAGGGTCCTGGGATCAAGCCCCAACCTGGCTCAGCGAGGAGTCTGCTTCTCCCCCTGCCTCTGCCTCTCTCACCTGCTCATATTCCCTCTCTCTCTCTCTCTTTGTCACATGAATAAAAAAATAAATAAATTTAAAAATAAAAAAATAAATGTCTAATACATTTTAAGTGGTACATAAATTATAAGGCAAGAAATTTACAAGTAATGTAATTCGCATAAAAGAAAAAGAAATAGCACTATAAAAAAATCTTTCTCTTGGGCTTCTAGGAATCAAAAAACTCTCAAGGTGAGCAAAACCCATACACTTAGAATATAAAAATATCTTATTTCCCTAACTGTTAGGTACTTTAGAAAGAACTTAAAGGTAAAGATATCACACCTCTAAAAAGAATGTTTTGCATTGCCTTTGTGCACCATTAAGCAACTCAAATTATGTTGTCAGCCAGCTAATATTTCAACCACCTTTGACTTTCTTGGTGTTTATCCAAATATTTGTTTTTTCACATAATGTTCACTCCATGGCTGTGATAGCTTTTAAACATTAAGTTCCTCTACCTTTGGACTTCAGGGCATTAATAGATGATAGGCATTTCTACAGTGTTTTGTATGAAAGGAAAAATATTCCATAGTGGTTGGAAAAGTATAATTATAATTTGAAAAAAAACTAGCATTTACTGAGCCCTCATCATGTTCCAAGCACTGACTTTTTACAGATATTAGTTCATTTAAGCCCTCACAGCAAACAAGGACATTGAGGCTTGAAGAAGATAGGTAACTTACCCAAGGCCGTAGACCTAGTTAGTAAGTCAGTCAGGATTCAAACCCAGATTTGACCTAAGCACCTGGCTCTTAGCACTCACCATGCTGTTAGCGCGGGAGAAGTTCATGAAATCTTGCAGCAAATGCAGTGTATCAAGAATGCCGTGTGTACTGGGAAAGCCTTGGATAGCATTACCTTTCCAATTCTTCTATATGTAACTATTATTTTACCTGTGGCTAGAGCTAGAACAAAAGAAGGAAGGGGAGGACTAGGGGGGAGGAGGGCACAGGAGACGGGGAGAGGATGGGGGGGGATTTTGTACTTTTCTCCCCTGGAAAATAAAAGTTAAATTCCAAAAATACATTATTTGGATCATATTAGTTGGCTTTTAAGGGATTGCTCGCAGATCCAAACCCATTCTTCTCTTCTCTATTTTGTACAGCTGGGACCATGACTCTGAAAATTTCATTTCCCCTTTGCCAGCCAATTCCTGTCTGTCAAAAGGGGCTGCAGAGGGAGTTTAAAAGGCAGGGAAAGGACTAATATATAAAAGAAAGAGACAACATGGATAGAAGAAGAAGCCGATGGAATAGGAGACAAAATGAAACAGAGACATTCAGTAAACACAAAAAAAATGGTTCTTTAAAAATACAAATAAAATTTTCCAATCTCCGACACAACCCATCAAGAAAAAAGAGGAAAATACACACACAAATTGAACAGAAAGGAAATGATGATAATGACGGGGCTTCTGCCTCCAGGCATGATGCACCAGGTGAGTTAACTCTTATAAATCAACAGAACTCCCAACACCTAATGGAAAATGGACAAGAAATAAAAGGAAAATGTGAGATCATCAGAACATGTGATGGGAAACTTCAAACATATACAAAGGAGAAGAATAGTATAGTGAATCCGGGAGGAGGCTGGGACCCACACGTCTAAGGAGAAGGCACCAGGGCAGCCGCTCCTGCTTCTGCAGCGGCACAATACGGTGGTTCTGGAAATATATAAAGAAGGTGGACTCCCATCCAAGTACTAACCAGGCCGACCCTACTTAGCTTCCGAGATTGGAGGATAAAGTCGGGCGTGTTCAAGGTGGTATGGGCATAGACATAAAACAAGATGAAACCAGAGAGGGAGACAAACCATAAGAGACTCTTAAGCACAGGAAACAAACTGAGGGTTACTGGAGGGGAGGTGGGAGGAGGGACAGGGTAACTGGGTGATGGGCATCAAGGAGGGCACGTGATGTAATGAGCACTGAGGGTTATATACGACTGATGAATCACAGGCCTGTACCTCTGAAACCCATAATACATTGTATGTTAATTAATTGAATTTAAATTTTTTTTTAAATGGGAAAAAAAAAAAGGTGGAAACTGGAATCAACTTCTGTGGTCAGGGTAAAATGGCTACAGCGAAACTGACCTAAACGGTCAGCCTAACAGGAAGGAGCAAACAAAAATTAGAAACTATCAAAAATATATTACTCACAGTAATAGTGAAAGCATGTGACATTTGTGTACAATAATGTACAACCGTTTCTGAAGGCAATGTGGCAATATGTCACAAGAACCATAAAAGTGTTCATGCCATTTCACATAGAAATCCATACTTTGCATTTTATCCAAAGACAGATTCGGAAATGTGCCCCAAAATTTATTCCAGTGAGTGGTTCGTGACAGGATTAAAATTTAACTACAGGCACAAACATGTCCAATGAAGATCGGGCACTCCCTTTTACCCTAGTTCCCTGATTACTTGCATAAGTAGGTTCCACCTGCGTAGAATTTCTTTAACCCAGCTCCTAATTAAGCAATTCTAAAAACACTAAAATTTTCCCCAATAAAATTGGTCAAATAAAATAAGATCACAATGGTCATTCCAAGTGCAAGATGATAAAAATAGTGCCGGAGATTTGTACTGCACAAATTGCTGATCTCCATTTCAAGCAACTGATAAAGCATAATTAAGAATTAAGAGGGTAAAATTGGAAAAGAAACAAGGAAGAAAACCTCATAACCAAATAACTGACAATAGATCTTTGAAGGGTTAAATAAGAGCTAAATTAACATGGGGAAAAAAGAGAAACTAAATAATTAAACCTGACCAAGGAGTTTGCCCAAATCACCTCCTCCAGGAAGCCTTCCCCTCTGAGGGGGGTGGGGTCACCGTGCCTGTGAGCTCATATTGCCCCTGTGCTTGTCCCTAATTCATTATTGCTTAAGTGCTCTATAAGGTAAAGGTTTATTTTTCTTACCCCCCACCTGATGGTGATCCTTGAAATTGAACACTGTGTTTATTTCTGTGCCCCCAAAACCTGCTTAAAGAAGGATTTGATGAATGTTGATGGAATGAATTACGGATGGAAAAAGTAGGGAGGAGAGGCTTTTCTTTCATGAAAGGGGAACAGACTGGTAGGCAAGACAACAAAGTGTAAGGATAAATTCATATTTCTGTCAGTTGCAAAAATATGAATCATTACATTTCCCAGTTTCTGAGCAAGGCCTGTGCTGAGTTTCTTCCCCTTGCTCCTCAGATCCATGCTGCACCCTTCTCCACCCTGATCTCTGGCACAGGAGGCTGGCCTGTGTGAACTGCTTCACCTGAGTCTCTTGTCCTCTAGAGGCCAGGGGCTTCTGTCAATAGGAAACCCCAGGGGCAGACTGGGATTGGTAGGGGAATGAGGTAAGGATATTAATTTCCCAGACTCCCTCCCTGCTGGTCACCATGGACTGGCTGCATCTCCCCGTGGAAAGTTCAGCTCTGGTCAGACAGCCCCCTCCCTACAGCTAGCCTTTTTGGGTCCCAGTATCTGCTCCTTCCTTTCCTTCTTGAGGCTTTAGAGGTACTTTAGAAGTACTGTCCCCCCATTGTGCTAACCCGGGAAGAGTGTGTTTTCTAAACTCTGCCCACACCCTTACAGCAGTCCTCTTCTCCAATTGCCTATTTTGAGGTGCCTTCTGATTCCTGCTGGCAAGAATGCTGACTATTCAAAGGCCTTAGTACACAATCGTGCATAAAATCTTGAAAAAGGGACAGATTTTATGATTGACATTAGGGTCCTTTAATGGGTTTTGGGAGGTTTTTTAATCAAAAGATATAATAATGAGGGCGCCTGGGTGGCTCAGTTGGTTAAGCGACTGCCTTCGGCTCAGGTCATGATCCTGGAGTCCCTGGATTGAGTCCTGCATCGGGCTCCCTACTCGGCAGGGAGTCTGCTTCTCTCTCTGACCCTCCCCCCTCTCATGTGCTCTCTCTCTCATTCGCTCTCTCAAATAAATAAATAAATAAATCTTTAAAAAAAGATACAATAATGAATCTGAAGAGTATATTTTGAGGCAGCATTAATTAGCAGAAAAGTGTTAAGAGAATCACTGTGAGCAAAGGTTAATGCATTTGGGAATTACTAATATGAACTATTAGAAACTCTGTAGTTAGAAAATAGTGGGAAACAACCTATCAGTTATAATCCAGAAAAAAATTATTATTATAAGTATACCATCATAACTATGATGCAATTTAATCTTGAAATCTTAAAGAATAATAAAATATTAAGAATCACTATACAATAAGCTTCTCCATTATGCCGTCCATTTTTAAATCCTATACTCTCAGTGTTTAGAACAGCACCTTGTACATAGGAACTGAGAAAGTATTTATTGAATGAAATAATCAGGAAGAACACTGAAAACAAAACAGAAAATGCCATCTAATGCTTGCATATTGCATTCTGCTCATTATCTAACAATAAAAACATAACAGACCTGAAAACAAACCCAGAAAGTAGTAAATGCTCATGAATAAATGAAAATAATTCATATATAAATAAAATTAAATTATCGGACCTGTACCAAAGCAACAGATACCATTTATTAGGTATCTATACTCTGTTAGGTACTTTAGATATGTTAACTTCAATCCTCACATTTCTGCCCAGTTGAGGTAGTCAAGGAAAGCTTCCAGGAGGAGGTGATACCTTTGTTGACTCAAGAAGGAGGAGCAGGAATCATCTATGAAGATGAAAGGACAAAAAAAAAAAAAAAAAGCTTTAGGTAGAATAATATCAACAAAATCACAGAGACAAGAGAGCAGGATGCATTTCAGAAACTTTAGTCATTTCAGTAATGAGGAAGTGTAAAGACTGGAAACGAAGTGGAATTTTATTCCAAATACCACGAGGAACCATTACTTCTACCTAGAAATGTCATTATCTAATATTTGTTTTAAGCATGCGTATGGAGCAGCAGTGAAAAGATGATTGTTATAAGGATGAAAATGCATAATAAAGGTAACTAATAAGTATACTATAAAGCACTGTCCAGACACTAGGTCTCATTTTACTTAGGCTGTCACCATGCTAAGTGTCCCCCTGCCCTCCTGTACCAGTCTACTTTCTCAAGCCCACCTATGGCTTTGTGCTTGTTAACTGTTCAGTCAATCAGGCAGACTCCCAGAGGCATTCAGACCAACCCTATCTTTTGAAGTTGTGTGTCCTTTGTCTAATGTACTGCTCTACAGAACTCAATGGGACAAGAGTGCCACCTCGTGTTGCATCATTGACCGTTCACAATCCCCAGTATGCTTTCTTTTCACTTGAGCTCCGTGTGGGTGAGGCCACTGAAGCTTCCTCCCAGGAGTAACTTGGAAAAGAAAAATGTTAACAACTGTTCTCACAAATACAACAGAGGGGGAGCCCAGGACCTTTTCAATACAGTGATAATGCTAATGCTTGAGTTTAGTAGATTAGTTGCTACATGCCAGAAAATGCTTAGCCTATGTGCTTTAAATGCCTGCTATTATTGTTTTTAACATATTTATGGGTTTTTAAAAACTTATGTTTAAAAATACAATTGGAATTGTAATGTAGGAACTGAAGTAGGTTGAGTAAAAAGCTGCCCTGCTCTCTCTCATAAAGGCCCATACTCAATAATAAGTTCTGAGAAGGGATTCCAAGAGATTGTTTGAAAGTACATTCCTTGATGTCTGCAAAAGAGGCTGCAAGCCTTTGCAGGCAGACCAACTATTTAAACTATTTTAAAAGAATTATTGGAGAAAGAGTTTCCTTAAATTCCTGGAGAAGAACCATGCATGGATTCTATTTGCCTCCTCCTCCCCACTTCTCCACAGGCTGTTTTATTTTTCTCCTAGTCTAGCTTCATTTTTTTCTCATATTTATTGAAAAAATGAGCTCCCAAAACCTGGGAGTTTATTGCTATTTCTTAATCAAAATATAAGCCAATATATTGCTACTGTATACTCATGATGAGCATGTAAATGCAAATTAACATCTGTCCAAGAAAATGAAAACTATCTTTACTGAGCACTTTCCATATATTAATTCATTTAATCCTCACAGAAGTCCATGAATGTAAGTATTACTGTTCTCATTTTAAAATGGGAAATTGAAACTGAGTGAGGATTATGCAAGTTCACATATCTAGGTTATAGTACAATCAGTTCAAATCCAGGTTTCTCTGACTCTAAATACCTATGCCCATAACCATTATGATTTATTGACTCTAACCATAAAACCCCAAATCACAAGCATATACTAGTACCAACAACTTGGTACTAGTTAGATAATCAAAGTATGCGTAAGATAATCAAAGTATGTGTAAATGTCAACACTTAACATAAATTTGGAAGTTAGATATCATTCAAAACTTACTGCAAAACTATAGTAATCAAGATAATGTGGTAATGGCATAAAGATAGACATAAATTAACATAATAGAATTGAGAATTCAGAAATAAACCCATATATCTATGGTTAATAGATTTTAGGCAAGAGTGCCATGACCAATCAGTGAAGAATAGTCTTATCAACACATGGTTCTGTGACAACTAAATAGCCACGGGCAATATAATAAGATTGAACCCTTACCTCACACCGTATACAAAAATTGACTCAAAATGTATCAAAGACCTAAATGTAAAAGCAACGATTGTTAAACTTTTAGAAGAAAACATAGGCATAAATCTTCATGATCTTGTATTAGGCAATGATTTCTTCAATATGACACCAAAAGCACAAGCAACAGAAGAAAAAACAGATGAACTGTACTTCATCATAATTAAAAAATTTTGTGGCTCCAAAGTACACCATCAAGAAAGTGAAAAGTCAACCCACAGAATGGGAGAAAATTTTTTGTAAATCCTATATATGACATATCTAGAACATAAAAAGAATTATTATAACTCAATAATAAAGTCAAATAACCCCAATTTTAAAATGAGCAAAGGAGCCGAATAGACAGTTCTCCAAAAAATATATACAAGTGATCAGTAAACACAAGAAAAGCTGCACAACATCATTAGTCGTCAGGGAAAATGCAAATCAAAACCATAATGAGACACCATTTCACACCCAGTAGGATGATTATAATCAAAAAGACAGATACTAACAAGTGTTATGAATGATGTAGAGAAATTAGAACCCTCATACATTGCTTGTAGGACTGTAATATGCTGCAGTCACTTTGGAAAACAGTATGAAAGTTCCTCAAATGGTTAAACATAGAATTACTACATGATCTACCAGTTCCATTCCTGGGTATATACCCCAAGGGAAATGAAAATATAGTCACTCAAAAATGGGTACACAAATGGTCATGGCAACATTATACAATGGCCAAAAAGTGGAAGAACCCAAATTTCAGCAATTGGTGAATAAATAAACAAAATGTGGTATATCCACAGAACGGCATATTATTCAGTAGTAAAAAGAAACAAAGTGATGATACATGCCACAACATGAATGAACCTTGAAAACATTATGCAAGGTGAAAAAAGGACCACGTATTACAGATAACATTTATAAGTATTGTCAGGAATGGATAAATTGATAGAGACAGAAAGTACATTAACAGCTGTCTAGGTCTGGGGAAGATGAGGAGATTGAGGGGTGACAGCTAAGGGGATGCAGATGTTTTTTTCAAGATAATGAAAATGTTCAAACATTGATTGCAGCAATGGATCCATAATTCTGTGGATATACTAAAGGCCCTTGAAACGTATAGTTGAAATGGGTGAATTGTATAGCATGTGAATTGAGCTCAATAAAACCATAAAAACCAAGTTAGTTGTATGTGATGGTCAATCAGGAATATTTTGCCTTGAACACAGAAGCAGAAAATCACATGCTGATTCTGAGAGAATGTCATAAGTCAAACATGAATGTAAAATATTGCAATCTCTCACCCTCACGTAGCTGCCATTCAGAAATGTATTAAAGACGTTATTGGTTTCCAAAGACAATAGAGTTAATGAGCAAACAAAGGAAAGGTACACAAAGTAGTGCAACTGCTGCAAAACATTACCTAGGTGATATTGAAGATACAAGTTCATTCAGATAAGTCATTGCCGTAGACATTTAGAGTTTTCTTTCAGGGTCCCTTTCCTGTGGGAGTAAAGAGGAAAATGAGTCAATATTTTTGTGCCACAAAATGAAGCATTGGTAAGCTTAGAGACTTTTTAACTTCTTTAATCAACTTTAAAATTACCACAAATAGAGGATCAAGAAATCATATTACTTCAGGAGAACTGCTCTTGAATTAATATTTGGAAATCATGAATTGCTAAGGAACACTGTAATTTAGAGTAGATGAGTAATACCTTAATGATGAAGAATTACTTTTGAAAAATATTCATTTTTCCTTGGAAGAACCGTTCAAGGATTCAAGGCAGAAATTACAAGGAATATTCTGAGTAGATATATAGAATATTTCTATATAATAGTAGATACAGAAAGATAGTATCTATAGTAGAATTTAATGTAAATTCCATATTTACATTATTTTAAGTGGCTTTATTTTATATATATATATATAAGAGATCCTGAAGGAAAGAGAAGGGCTGGGGGAAATGAGGATATTGAAGGGTGATGGCTGGGGATGCATATATGTACTAAGATATAAATATATGCGTATATTTATTACCTTTTTTCACTTATATGAAATTCTAATTGGAAGTTATTTTCAGTATGAACTAACATTCAATTATTGATGAATTTATAAACTAATTATCTTTTGCTAGATAGTGCTACAATAACAAAATTCCCAGTCTCTCAGGGGCTTACAATAACAAAGACATTATTTTATTTGTCAGTTGGGGGTTGGCTGTGTGCTACTCATTCTCTCTCCTTCAAGGTCCAGGTAGAGAAGCAGCCTCTATGTGGAGCTTTGTCATTGTTGTGGCAGAGTGAAAAGGGGGAGAGCGGAACCTAGGATGGCTCTTAAAGCTTCTGATCAGCAGTGGCACATATAACTTCTGCAATGTCCCATTGACATTGCAGGCATGTTGCTTGTTGCCCTAGTGATGCCTGTTATGTAATCTTTCCACAGGAAGGGTACTACTGGTCACATGGCTGAGCCTGACATCACAGGACAGGGAATTATCAACTTTTCGCAGGAAGAAGCAGCAAGTATGTAAAAACAATAATCTACCATCACTGAATGATAAACTCTGTAGGAAACCTTAGAGATCATCTGTTTCATCTCATTTAATCTCATCTGTGGTTGAGAAGTCAGAGGCCCAGAAAGGGAAAAGTGATTTCCTTAGTTCTATAACTAACTCAAGACCGAATCTCTGATAATCTCTCCCCCTAGTAAGATTCACCTTTTTGTTTACATGAACAATCTATAAACAAAAAAGGAATGGTTGGGTGGAACAACCACAAACCTGCACAATAGAAAAAGAGATGCCAAGAGTAACTATTTTCAAACAGCAAATTCAAATTTATGCTACTACTGATGAGTATCATTTATATCCAACAGGGTACTTAAATAGAAGAAGAGAAATTAGTTCTATTTATTTTTAGAAACACTATAAATCAGGTGTTGATTTATTGTTTTAATGATAGATCTTAAACTTATGGAGATAATGTTAATAATGCAGATTCAACTTAGAAGTGCATCGTGTCATACCATGTTGTGAATAGCACAAAAAAAATTGGAGAAATATTCTTTCAGCATTTGTAAATTATTATCTGATTCAGTAAAGAAGTCACACACTATTGAAAAACAAGTGAAGTTCTGACATCGGACTTTGGGTTTTGAGTTTTTTTCTATCTTACTTGTTAAGGTATATGAACGTTATCAACTGACATCATGTTGTAACACCTGTTCATCAGTTGCAACCATAGTCCTGCTATGGATATAAGAGTTTGGTAAAAATCAATGAAAGAATTCTGAGAATCAATTGGCTATATGAAATTCACAGTAAAGAACATTATTTTATTATTATTTATATTATTTATAAATTGTGTGCTATATATCCTTCATGTCAATAAACAATAATGAACTTATGTACATATACATGTATCCTTTTTTTCAGAGAGCTTGTTGTTTAACATTTACCAGCAAGCACTAGGAATATAGAAATCTGATATTCATCAAATGCTTTTCCTGTTCATACATTTAAGTACCTACAAATTGGTAAAGATCTGTTTCCAATTGCTATGTCAAATACAAAAATGTAGTCTCCTTAAGGAGTTAAAAATCCAACAGAGGAAATAAGTGGCATCAATGTAACTATAATGCAAAGCAGTATGAGCAGTCGAAAAGAGCAGCAGAAGTCGTAATGAAGCAATGTTCTAATGCACTTTTATCAGAAACTTCAAATCTAGAATTAGAAAAGATGTTTATACACATTCCTAGCCATGAGAACAGTTTTACTGCAAACTAAGAATTAGAATTAGTGCTTATCACAGCGTTTTGTGCATAGTAAATGATCGACATACATCTCTTGAATTGTGCTAAAGGTAAATGTGCCAGAAAAATCAATAAATAAATAAAAATAAAACTGTAGAGTGAGAGAGGCTGGCAACGATTGGGTTTAAGAAGAGGCCATGGGCAGAGGGGTGTGTGGGGGGAGATGATATTTGAATTGGCACAGCTGTGGTAAGACAGATGGTAGAACTAACTAATCCAGAAGGGAGTAGGTAGTTGGCTTCCTCAGAAGTTCTAGGAACTGGGCTCTAGCTTGAACAGTTTCTTCAAAGGAGCAGGCTTGAGGGGAGACGGGGGATAAAGAGAGATAAATCAATTTGGCCCCCCATTTCAAGTTACACCAAAAGAGAAACTTTGGCCTTCTTTTCAGGGCTTTCAGTTTTATTTGCTTCATGAGATTTCAGGGGTCTCACAGACTCTCCCCTTAATAGAGTCTCACCTCTTAGAGATACTTATAAACCTACAAATAAAGAATAGGACTTAAATGCAGATGGATGGTTGAAATTCAAATTAGCTTCAGAATGAACATAGCCAGACAGCAAATAAGCATCAATGATAGATGGTCAGATTTTTCCTGGTTTTGATGGGATGAATAGATAGAGAAGAAAGCTTGAAGAATCTGAAGAAGGGAAAAGACTGCAAAAAGAAAATCTAGGAACAAAAAAACTCTGAGCCTTTACATTTTGACCTCAAAAGAAATTGTGAACACTGGATGTTGTACATAAGTGATGAATTACTAGACTCTACACCTGAAGCCAATATTGCACTGTATGTTAACTAGCTGGAATTTAAATAAAAAACTTGAAAAAAATGTAAGTGAACTAAAAAAAAAATTGTGGACTAGGTTATTTTATGACAAAACTGCAATGATAGTATAGTACAGTATAGGCTTCATAAAGATTTTTGGTTTTTTATCTTTTTTAAGCTAAGAAATCTCCTTGGGCATTTAACTGAGGTATTAAAATTAGTAGATTGATTTTATTTCCTTGATTTCCACATCAGAACGATGTATCTATCACTCTGTTTTATAATGTAATACATGGAAATAAGATGCCATAATATATAGAGTCTAGTGCATTTAAAAGATTAACTTACATAAACAACAGAATTTTTTAACTTGTTAAAATGAATAATAAAAATGGCTTTGACAGTTTAAAAGACAATGAAGTAAAGTACTATATATTAAAGACACATAGGATGCACCCAGAGTGCATCTAAAGGGAAATTTAAAACTTTAACTGCATTCATGGGGAGTGGGAGAGAAGGGAGAAGGAAATTTGTTAGGTAAGTATTCAAATTAGAGAGATAGGAGAGAAAACCCATCAAAGTAGCTCCAGGAAGGAAATAATAAAGCTACACCCCAAATTGAAGAAATGGCAAAGAAACAAAAAGAATAGAAAATCTAAAAGCTAGTTGTGAAAAGCCTAATAAAATAAATAAGTTTTTAGCAAACAAGGGGGAAAAGATAAAAAAAAAAAAGAAGTCAACAAAAACAGTATTAGGAATAAGTGAAGAGGAAATCCTTAAAATCATAAAGAAATAGCATACCAATACTTGTTATATATTTCAATCGGTAATGTTCACATGATTCTGAACTCAAAATACTCCAAGTACATACAGTAAAAATTCTCTCTTCTACCATATCCTCCAATTACCCTATATCTTTCCCAAAAGCATCTTAACATTTATTTATTTGTGAACGCTTCCAAGGACATTTTACTCATTTCCAAATTAATATAAATATGACTTCTCTTACCCCTTTTCTCACATATAAAATAAATTAAACTGGGGGGTTTACACTTTATTTTTTTAAGATTTTATTTATTTGAGAGGAAGAGAGGGAGAGCACAGAGGGAGAGTGAAAGGGAGAAGCAGAGCAGGGAGCCCGATGCGGGGCTCGATCCCAGGATCCTGAGATCATGACCTGAGCCAAAGGCAGACACTTAACTGACTGAGCCACCCAGGCACCCTAAGCTGGTGGGTTTAAAAGATTCTTCAGGGGCGCCTGGGTGGCTCAGATGGTTAAGCGTCTGCCTTCGGCTCAGGTCATGATCCCAGGGTCCTGGGATTGAGTCCCGTATCAGGCTCCCTGCTCCTTGGGAGCCTGCTTCTCCCTCTGCTTCTCTCTCTCTTTCTCTCTCCCTCTGTCTCTCATGAATAAATAAATAAAATCTTTAAAAAAAAAAAAAAGATTCTTCAGGACAAAATTTATGGGTATATTTCACAAAACCTTATAGAAACAAATCATTCCTGTCCTATACAAGCTGTTTTAGATCACAGGAAAATAAGGGAGAATTACACACGGACACCAATGTGGGTTGGCTCATTTAATACCTATTCCACCTCCTTAGAGCAGGCAGAAACCATATAAAACATTGCATTTCCCAGAATCTCTCTTGCTTAAATTCCAGATATTCAGCCTCTGCCATGTAACTTAACTTCTATGAAACTTCAATTTGAAAGTGAATCAAATGGGGAGGGAGGCAGGGTGCAGGGCATCCACTATGCTGCAAGTGGATTGTGACAAACTCAGGGTTGGTTCCTGAGCCAGTAGCTAGCAGCAGCATCTGAACCTTAGATGACTTCGTGATTAGCAGAAGTAATGTGATTTTGGACCTGGCAATAGAGAAGTCTCTGTATCCCAACCGGCAGGTAACTTCCTGAGTCAGTGGC